GAGCTCGAGGTGTTCTATTATTTTTTTAACGGCCAGACCCGCCCGAGGCCGAGCCCCAAGGGCGACGAAGCATTATTAGGGGGCAGGGGCGGCCGCCAGGGCCCTGTTCGCTTGTGGCACGACTGCCGGGCGCCAGGCTGCCATTTTGTCACCGCGGCTGTTGTCGCTGCGGGAGGGGGGGTGGGGGGCAGAGCCTTGCGCCATCACCCCGACGGGCCTGGACGTGGAGGCAGCTTGGGGAGGTGGCCCCAGCACCCTCAGATGTGCTGTGGGACCCGATGGGTGTTCCCTCCCCGTGCCACTGGCCTGAGGCTCTGCTGGAGCGTCGCGATCGCTAGCTCCTTCCTTCTAGTGCCCCCCTGTCCCCCACGGCGCTCCTCAGCCCCCCTCCTGCAGTCGTTTTAGACGTAGTTAAATGTGGTCCTGAGGATGAACCTATCACCCTGGTGTTTGTTCTTTCCTCGGAATTGATAGGAGGGGGCGGGGGAGAAATTGAACCGGGGGTTTCTTTTTGGGGAGGGGATGCGCACGCAACTCTAGCGCCCCGACTGAAGCCAGGACCGCCGCCGCTTCCTCGGGAGGGACGCGGCGCGGGGGAAACGCCCTGGAGGCTGGGCTCTCGGGGGAAGGTAGGTCTTGCTCCGCGTTTCAGGTGGGTGTTGCAGCGCCCTGCAGATTGATAGGGGAGCCCCCCCCCCTTCTCTCCCCGCCTCCTTTTATTTTTTACCCAGGGGAAGGCAGCTACAGGACTAAATGTAACCGCGAACGGATAAAGGATAAAAGAAGGGAATAGGTTTGCTTTTTAAAAAGTAAGTGATGTCTTTCTTGCAGACTCCCCTTCTCTGCTATTGACTGCAGAGCCAGACAAGGTGTCCTGTAGGTGGCATCTCTCGGGGACTTTTTAAAGCCGATAGGATGCCGATTAAACACCTCACTGGTTAAACTGGTGTCTGCATAGAGACTAGCTTTCATGGCAGTGCCCAGCAAAGGCTGCCCAGTAAGCCAGGTTTAACTTTGACCTTTGGAATACATCGCCTGATGTTTTCCAGTCTGACTTACTGCTTAATTGGGTTCAAGTAGGCTGTTGTTAATTCCAGTTTATGCAAGCCAACGCGGAATCCACAGGCTGAAAATTGAGCATTGAGCTCGGAATAGTCATGGTTAGTTATGTTTTGTTACTGAATTGCTGCTGCTGATGGTAATTTTAAGTTTGGGGGCTGGGTCCACAGTAAATCTTGGTTCTGGAATCACACAGATCTGGGTTTGAACACCCCACCCCACCCCACCCCCCACCACCCTGCAAAATGGGTGCAGTACCACTCGCGCCTGGTTGGCTTGGCGTGAGCTGACAGGAGATCACCCCCCACCACACACACACACACACACACACACACACACACACACACACAAAAGAGGTAAGGTAAGTTAACCTGCCCCTGTGAGCTGGGCAGGTCAACCTAACCTACCTTTCTGAACTTTGGTTTCCTTACCTGGAAAACGGAAGTAATAATCCTAGTTAGTGAGTAAGGGACAAAACTGGCTTGATCTGGCCCTCAGGTGTTCAGGCTACGATAGCTTTGTTCTCTGAGAGATACGGGATGCAATGGGACACAACTCTGAGCCCCTCTTCGGATTAGAATAACAATAATAGCTAATGCTTTACATTGTACCCACGCTGTGCCTGGCGCAGTTCTTATTGGATTGTGCCTATCAGTTAATGTCGTCCCCACAACAGCACTATGAGGTAGACGATACTCTTATTATTCTTGTGTTACACATGAGGAAATGGAACACAGGCTATCACAACCAGTCTGTCCTCAGTCTCTACCCTCCCGAAGCACCCTTTTTTGTAAAATACCTTAAGGAAGAGCTTTTTTTGTTTCAAACGTACTCACCTTAATGGCAAGTGAGTTTCCTGTGTTGACGGTACGGAGACTGGAGGGCCTCCTGATTGAAGATGTTGGGAGAGTTGGTCAGGACCAGAAGCTCTGCGGATTATCTTTTTTTTTTTTTTTAATATATTTTATTGATTTTTTACAGAGAGGAAGGGAGAGAGATAGAGAGTTAGAAACATCGATGAGAGAGAAACATCGATCAGCTGCCTCCTGCACATCTCCCTCTGGGGATGTGCCCGCAACCCAGGTACATGCCCTTGACCAGAATCGAACCCGGGACCCCCCAGTCCGCAAGCCGACGCTCCATCCACTGAGCCAAACCGGTTTCGGCATTATCTTTTTTTTTAAATTAAATTTATTGGGGACATTGGTTAATAGGGTCATATAGGTTTCAGGTGTGGATTTCTGTGTTAACAAGATCTGTACATTGCACTGTGCCCACTACCCAAAGTCAAATCATCTTCCGTCACCATATATTAGGCCTCCTTCACCCCCCCACCCACACCCTGGGGGTTATCATTTTAAGGG